CCCAACGTGATACTTGCATTAACTGAAAATCCAAGTTCGAAGTGTGTGTCAACCCCCGTTTCCAGGGGCACGACACTTTTCTCTAGCTACCTATTCTGACGATTTCATTGTTTTCCGTAGGGGACAACCCCATGGATGCAGTTGGTTGTCCAACGAAGAGGGCTGCATTCCAAGGCTGATATGATCCTGGGACGCTAGGATCACGTACCTGCCAATGTTCCTTTCAGCATTTGTCATTCTAAGTATCGCTCAACGCTAATGCTCTTGGCTACTGCGGTAACATAAAGGGCGAATGCTCGCCGCGCATCTCTGAAGCACAGCTCCGCGGAGCACTCATCTTAAGTGTTTGTTTTTTCATTGCTGTTGTCTTTTTTGGGGGGGAGGGGCCCTGGCCGGGGCGAATGGAGCTTTGGATGGATGATTTTACGACAGGCTCGGCTCAGTTCTGACGGATTGGTCCAAGATGGCTGATGTTGGGTCTTTGCTTGGTGATCTTTCAGCAGTTTTGGTGCATGTCTCCTTGCATGCCGTCTACAGGGCAACACGCGAAACATGTGAAGCAGCGATAGTGGGGATCCAGGTGGTTTTGAGGTGGAATGGAGGCCATCGCTACTAGGGTGGAGTCCATCGCTATTAGTAACTCAAAAGAAGTGTTTTTTGAATAGCAGCTTCTAGTAGCGTCCTTGTTCCTAGTAGAACGAGAACAGGTGGTTCTCAGAGATGGCTTGGCAGACGTCTCGCCCACGAAGCCGCAAAACAATTCATCGCCGAGCTCGCGGTGTCCAGACGAGCAGGTTTCGGTGGGTGTCACTCCCTGAGTTCGGTCGGTTTGGTTCACCAGACTCCACTGTCCTTGGCATTGAGATTCCTTTAAAGCCTGCCGGGAGTGTGGTTGGTCTGCATCTCCGTGGCTGCCTTGGGTGACTCCTTGTGTTGAGAACGGTTCATGTCATTGTCAGTGCTTCATGAGCAGAAGCCCTATAGATCATCTAGCTTTGTTCTGCATTCAGATTAGCAACATTCGGTATTTCTGCCTTATAATCGAGTCACTGTAAAAATAGCATACATATCGCAGCTAGTGGGGCAAAAGTTTCAGAAGCCTTACTGACTTTGTTGGGTTCGGAAGTAGCGCACGCTCCTCATTGCAAAATGCAAGTATGATTCCAACACATTCCCCAAAATATATAAAAGAAGGTCTTAAAAGGAGGGGAAGAAGGAAAATGCGGGGGGCATTGCAGCGCAGAGCTTTGACAGCTCCTATTCTGACCGCGACAGGTCCGACCAATGCTGCAGTCTCGGCGTCATCTCCAATCTCAAGCGTAGCTGTGCAGAGATCAATCTTGACCCTTGATGTTCGCCGAAAAATCAAGACCAACCTCGGTTTGAAAAGCGGTTGGAAGATTTCCCTGATGAATTCCGAATCAGCGTGTGTGTTCCTACTCTTTTTTTATTCGCATACGAATGCTTCCAGGAAGGACGTGGGTGTTCCACGGATCCAATCTGAACCAGTATGAGAAAGTCATCTAAACGGATCAACTTCGCCAAAGTGTTTCATGCGTTTGATGAGTTTCAGTGGTTTTTCTTCAGCACCAGCTCCGTCTGCAGAGCAGCAAGGGAGACGTTCCCTTCTTGCGGAGCCAAGAAGATTCATTGGTTCTCCACAGGTTCTGTATCAAAGCAATATGCAGATTCACATATCAATGGATATGCTACATTTTCCAAAGCTTTTTCCAGCCATTTGGGAGAGACTGCAACACCACCGAACAGGTTCGGCATACACACTGCCCTGCCAATCAAAGTAGGTGCCATGTGAAAAGATGTTCTTTGGACCAGTGTACTGAGCAGCTGTTCAACACATTTCAACACCATATCACCTCTTTTGTTTTTTTGGAAAAGCCTATCAGACAGTGGGAGTTATGTGTGCTTGGCCGAAGCACAAGCTAACAGTTGGAGGAAGACATGCCAACGACTGCCTGAAAACGGAAAGAACACATAAACGATGTGATGATGTTTACAGATTCAAGATGTTTTCCTTCAAACGTTGGGTCTTTTAGTTCAAATTCAAACTCTTAAGTGCCTGGCATTACTACTAGTAGCTAGAAGCTGCTAGTAACAAAGGCATCGCTACTAGTAACAAGGGCATTACTACTAGCAGCTAGAAGCCAATGGGACCCGCCAAGAATCAGAACCTGGAACTTTTCGATTTTCGCCCGTCCAACCCTGGGACGGCCACGTGAGCACCGAGAAATCTCACCTGTCGCGGGAAAGCACGCAGGAGCTCTGACGAGTTGGTTAAAGGAACAGTGAAAAACCATGCAGAGGGCAGGTTCTACTACGTTGGAGGCCATCGCTCTTAGGTTGGAGGCCATTGCTACTAGGTTTTGAGTCCCTCCAGATGATGACTGACCAATTGAATCAGCTGTTCGTGACAGCACCCAAAAGCGGGGGAACAACTCTGAAAAAGATTGGCACATCAATGGGCATGAAAAGAATCCACACAACCCCCTTCTATTGGCTCAAAGTGACCTTACTTGGGTTCTGGCACCTCATTGGTCGTCAAATCGATGATTTCAACCTTTCCTCCCATCTCTCAACGGCATCTCGAACGGTCATTTTGGAAGCTCCCAATTTCTCAGCACAGTTCTGTGATTCTTCGGAAAGCAGGAGCATCCCGCTTCGCACGCACCGAGCTTCGCCACGCGAACTCCCGCCCGGTCGCTTTTCGGGTGCTTTTGCCGCTGGTCGCAGACCTGCATCCCAAACCCCCGCTCGCAGCGGAAAAAGAGTGGCCTCCGCCTGCATCCCCAGGTGAGGACCTCGTGTGAAGCAGCTCCAAGGGTCAAGGTGAAACAGCTTTTTTCAGCAACAGCTGAATCCCGAAGAGCCCTTGTCTTACTGAAGGGTGTTACTGGGGTTATTGGACCAAACCGTGAGACCAGCGGAGCGGTCAGACCGGTGACCGCGTCGGTGCGACTGGGACGCTGGGATCCCTCCGGATGGGACGAGCCCAGCTCCGGTCGGACGGTGGAGCTTTCGTTCGGAGCGGTGTCTTCCGCAAATCGGTGAGGGCAGCTTCCTGGTGTTCCCTAGCTTCTTGCTCCTAGTAGCGATGGCCTCCAACCTAGTAGCGTCCTTGCTGCTAGTAGTGTTTCCCTACGAAAAACAGATGAAATCGCAAGCTGAAACGAGGGCGCCGCATGGAGGAGCTGCGACATGGCTTGCACTCAGATTGGAGCCCGACAAAACCCGTCGCTCTGGGCTCACAGCGGCAAATCGACCCTTTCAGCACAGCGGTACATCGCCGATTCGTTGGGACGAGCATGGCTGACGCAGGTGCTTTTTTTCGGAATTCAAGGGGTGTTGCAGTTGGATGCACAGACCCTTCAGTTGAAGAGGTTTTGAGATATGACGATAGGTCTTTGCCTTCCTTTTTGCACGAAAGGACATGCAAAGACGGGTATCCTGAATGTGTTCGGTTTTCTCCGTCTCACAGCACACACCACGCACATCAACCTTGGCCCCAGCCCAAGATGAGAAGTGTTCATCCACCCGCCTGAAGGAAAGCTGTCCCTGGTCTTTGTTTCTTCGCAAAAAGAAATAATAGCTCATATCATGTCATCATCTTCCAAGGCCACCAGCCCCAAAAACACGCACAACTCCACACTGCAAGTTTCTCTACGCTCTTCTTCACCGATTTGCACGCGTCCAAAACCGCCCACCGGAGCGGCGACGCGACCCCCGCCCGATTGGCGGATCGGTCGGTCGCCCACGCGCACGCTGGGCATTTTAAGTGCCAAGGCCGGGGAGCGTTGGGCGTTTGGCGAACGGGTGACAACTGCAGTGCTCGAATGATAAGAAGAGCTAAGGCCTCCAACGTACTAGCGATGGCCTCCAACCTAGTGGCGATGGCCTCCAACCTAAGAGCTAAGGCCTCCAACCTATTAGCGATGGCCTCCAACCTAAGAGCTAAGGCCTCCAACCTATTTGCGATGGC